GTAATGGGAGTGGTTTCTGGAATGAAGATAACTAAAATTCCAAACAACAGGTATATATAACCAGGAAAACTCTGGTTATCCAAGGATTGGTGAATGAACATACATTTATAGTTTTAAGTTAAGTACAATGATTAAGCTAGGGTAAGGACCTTTTTTTGTTTGCTGTTTTGTTTTGTTTTGTTTTGTTTTGTTTGTTTGTTTTGTTTTGTTTTGTTTTTGAGATGGTGTCTTGTTCTGTCACCAGGCTGGCAGGCTGGAGTGCGGTGGCATGATCTTGGCTCACTGCAAACTCTGCCTCCCGGGTTCAAGCCATTCTCCTGCCTCAGCCTCCCGAGTAGCTGAGATTACAGGCACATGCCACCATATTCAGCTAATTTTTGTATTTTTTTTTTTTAGTAGAGACGGCATTTCACCACATTGGTCAGGACAGTCTTGCTCTTCTGACCTCATGATCCACCCGCCTCAGCTTCCCAAAGTGCTGGGATTACAGGCATGCACCAGCACGCCCGGCCTGGTGCTGTTATTTTTTAAACCAATCTTGGTTCACTGCAGCCTCAACTTCCTGGGCATAAGCAATCCTTCTGCCTCATCCTCCTGAGTAGCTGGGACCACAGATGCATGCCACCACACCTGACTAATTTTTGTATTCTTTGTACAGATGGTATCTCACATTGTTGCTGAGGCTGGTCTTGAACTCCTGGCCTCTAGTGATTCTCCCACCTTGACCTCTCAAAGCGCTGGGATTACAGGTGTGAACTACCATGACTGGCTGGTAAGTATCATTTTGAATGATTCTCTTCTTTAACCATTTTTTAAAAAAATAATTGGCCAACTTTCAATTTCAACCAAGTTGAAAAAGAAGACAGAGGCCGGGCATGGTGGCTCATGCCTGTAATCCCAGCACTCTGGGAGGCCAAGGTGAGTGGATCACCTGAGATCAGGAGTTTGAGACCAGCCTGGCCAACATGGTGAAGCCCCATCCCTACTAAAAGTACAAAAAATTAGCCTGGCGTCGTGGCGGGTGCCTGTAATCCAGCTACTCGGGAGGCTGAGGCAGGAGAATCACTTGAACCCAGGAGGCGGAGGTTGTAGTGAGCTGAGATCTTGCCCTGTCTCTTATACACATCTAGATGTGTATAAGAGACAGGTTCTCAGTGGTGAACAAAGCACATTTTTTCTGTCTCACTGGGGGCTCCCAGTGGACGGAGGGAGACAGACGTCATTTAAATGATCTCATGCGTAGAGGTGAAATGACCTCTCTGTTAAGTGCTATGGATGAAGAGCACTGGGGTTAGACGCTATGGATGTGTGTGCTCTGGAGTTCACAATAGGAAATCAGACTCAGGGAGTTAAGAACAGTTTTCTCCAGGAAACAATGTTTAGGCTGAAGCAAGGATGAGGCAGGTATCCCAGGCACCAGGAACAGGAAAGGCCCCATGGAGAGGCACAAGATGCTGTGCCAGAGGCAGCAAAAGGGGACCCTCCACGAGCTGGGCACAGCCCACCAAGCCGCCCCATCTCCTTCACTTCTCTCTCCTTACCTGGCACCCTGAGTCGTCCCAAGCCTCCTGGACCTCATCCCAGAACACACAGTGAGACAGGAAGGTGGTGATGCCCACTGTGAGGTCCCTGCTGGGGACTGGCTCCAGGTCAGACTCAGGGACCACAGTCAAATAGTAGACCCCTTCTCCAAAACGCAGGTCCTGTGGGCTCAGGATCCACGTGGGCAGCTCATCTGTAGGACAGGGGGTTCCAGGTCAGCCTGAAGCCTCCTTGAGATGGGTGTTAAGATCATGGGAGAGGGTGACTGAGGCCACTTGGCAAGAAAGCAGACCCGGCTGGTTTTGCCCCCACCCCTGATGTCCTAGGAACACTTTCTCCTCCTGAGACCAGGAGCATAGAAGAAGGGGCACTCCCCAATCGGGGTGCATGGCTGACTCAGAAAGACAACGGCTCAAACACAGATTCTGCTCCTTACTGGCTGTATGATCTCAGACCAGTTCCTTTTCCTTAACCTCTTTGTTCTTATCTGGAAGTAGAGTTTTTGTTTTGTTTCGTTTTGTTTTGTTTTGTTTTGTTTTGTTTTGTTTTTAGACAGTCTTGCTTTGTCATCCAGGCTGGAGTGCAGTGGCGTGATCTCAGCTCACTGTAAACTTTGCCTCCTGGGTTCGAGCTATTCTTGTGCCTCAGCCTCCCGAGTACCTGGGATTACAGGTGTACGCCACCTCACCCAGCTACTTTTTGTATTTGCAGTAGATACGGGGTTTCGCCATGTTGGCCAGGCTGGTCCTGAACTCCTGACCTCAAGTGATCTGCCCGGTTCGGCCTCCCAAAGTGCTAGGATTATAGGCGTGAGCCACCACACCTTGCTGAAAGTGGAAATTTCGATAGTTCCCTCTCCCAAGGGTTGTCATGAGGATTGCAATGAGGTCAGTTCCATATGAGCTTGTAAACTTCCTCGGGGCATACAGTAAGTGCTCACCTAATGTTGGCAAATAGTAACACCAACAAAAAATAAGCCACTGAATGTGTGGGGTGGTTTTTTTTCTTTGCTTTTCTTGCTATGGCTTCTGATTCCCAAGTGAAGCTGATCATACCCCAGGCAGCAGCTCAGGAAATGGTCACAGGCCTACCTGAAGCCGCCATCGGTACGAGGTAAGTTTGGGCATCGTAGCTGCTCTTGTTGGGGTGGTAGCCGTAGCCTAGGCTGAGCGTGAGCGCGATGTCCGGTCTCCAGTGCAGCTGAATCCCCAAGGTTGCCTCCCCTGAAGTCACGTTCACCCACAAAGCTTCAGGACTGGTCAGGTTCAACACGGTTGGCTGGCTGTGTCCTTGTGAATGCCGGGGCAGCAGGATCTGTGCTCAGAAACAATCCTATTGAAGGGATGCCAGGAAGGCAATGCCAGCCCATGGGCATCAGGGCTGCTGTGCAGAGCTGTGTGGCCTGAGCACCGGGGAACCGAAATCCAGGCCGGGCTTTGCTCATTGTATTAGTTTCCTATGGCTGCTATCACAAATGACCATCGTGGGAAGCTTAAGACAATACACAGTTGTTATCTTAGAGTTCTAAAGGCTGGAAGTGCAAAATCAGTTTCCCAGGGCTAGGGGAGAACCTGCTTCCCTGCCTTTTATGGCTTCTGGTGGCTGCCTGCATTCCTTAGCTCACAGCCCCTTCCTCCATCACTCCAGCCTCTAGCTTCTGTCATCAAGTCACTTTTTTGTCTTCTGGAGTCACCTCCCTTTCTGCCTCCCTTTTATAAGGACCCTTGGGATGACACGGAACCCACCGGATAACCCAGGATAATCTCCCCATCTGAGGATGGGCAAGACTCAAGCACATCTGCAAAATCCCTTCGGCAGTTTTGTTTTGTTTTTGTTTTTAGACAGGGCCTGGCTCTGTTGCCCAGGCTGGAGGGCAATGGCATGACCACAGCTCACTATAACCTTGAACTCCTGGACTCAAGTGATCCTCCCACTTTAGCCTCCCAAAGTCCTGGGATTACAGGTGTGAGCTACCGCACCTGACCTTCCTTTTGCATTTAAGGTGACATATCCACAGGTTCCAGGGATGATAACATAGACATCATTAAAAATTGTTA